CTCCGTGGAAAAAGTAGAGGAGAGAGGAGAAAGGAAAGAAGAGGAGAGATTGAGGCAGACTAGAGAGGCAGATGAAATTGGAGAAGAAGACGAGAGCTCCAGACCAGAGCGTGAAAACGAAGACGTGCGTGTATTGTTTTCGCGAGAGATGGGCTTGTTATTTGGGCCGCCTTATTTAAGCACTGCCTTTTAAATGGCCTAAGATAAGCCTAGTTAGTGAGCCTCTTAAATAAGCCCATGTTTGGTTCATGACAGGATTCTTAGTGAGTTCTCCGTCGCGCATAGAACATAAAACAACCGAAAAGAAGCCAAGCGGGAGAGAGTACCGAAAAGAAGAGAAGCGAAGCAAGAGAGACGAAAATGGCGAGGAATTTAGGGGTTTTGATATGGCAGTTGCTTGGCAATCGCAACAGCCCGTGTGCAGCAGGTCTTCATCATCTTCACCAAAAACCCATCCAAAACGTAACTTCAGTACCAAATACCACACCATCTTCACCACACACAATCGATATCCGGTCAGCTTCCAAACCCTTGTCCAATTATTCCATTCGCACCCCAAACCTTTAATTTCTGCAACAGAGATGACGCCTCTCCTCATCCTCACTCTCAGAGTCAGATTCAAATTTAAAACATTTACTTTCAGGTCCCTCAAACCTATTCGTCATTGGGGTGGGAGGTTTGGTTCGGTTCTCACCTTAAACTGGAACCGAAATCGGTACTATTTAACCGGTCCGATTTAGGCAAAAAAAATTTCAAAAACCGTCCGGTTCGGTTCTAGTTCGGTTCCGATTTTGAACCGGATTATTAATTTATTATTTTTAATTCTTTTTCCAAAAAAATAATAATTTTTTATTTTTTATTAATTAAAAAAATTATAATCAATAACTTATTTTTTAGGCTTAAAAATTAACAAATAATCCAATTCATACATTTAGAAATTTTTTGAAGTTGAACTTGGAAAAAATAGTGATTATAACATTTAAAATATGGCATTGGATTTTAAAAATTTGTAAAAATAAAAAATATATATATGACCGGTCCGGTTCCGGTCCGGTTTGTTGACTTTTTTGGTCAACCGATTTTTTTTCCGGTTTTTTTTCACCAGTTCAGTTCAGTGTTTCAGTTTTCCAGTCCCGATGCCCACCCCTAATTCGTCATACAGGGCATGGCTGTGCATACCAAGGCAGTTGACAATGTTAAACGTATGCCAATTTCTCCACCATCCTCATCCCTTCTTAATTTTACAAACATTCAAAATAGGAAATTAAGTTTGTTGTGGATTTTTTATTTTTTATATTCCTTGGCATAGATGCTAGGTTGTCTGCGGTTTTCTACTACACTGCACCCGGGTGCCGGGCTAGTAAGATCTAACTTCTAATCAATGAATTTTCTTTCATCAATCAAGTGATTTGCAATAAATTGCTCTCTTCTTGTGCAGCCCGTAAGTGGATAACTCCAATCTTTGATGAGTTGTTGAGCAATTCCAACATATAAAAATGTATAAGTTTTACATGGATAAGGTAACTTTCTGAAATTTAATAAATTACTGTGATTTTTTAAATTTTAAAGTGGTTTATGGTTTATTGGAAACAGTAGTTTGGCAACTTTCTTACTCCTAACATTGTTCTCTCCTTTAAATCAGATTGTTTGGGCTGCAGCCTAAGTTTGGCTTGGAACCTGAAATATGGATTTAATGATTAAAAGAGTACTGCATAAGTTCAAGGAAAACAATTGCATAAGATGTGAAAATCATTAAAATAATCTTGGTATACTGTTTACCCATATAAGATCAATGAAATGCTTGAACAATGCATGTGAAAAGGTTTTGTTGACAATTAAATCTTGTTTTGTTTTTCTTGTGCGTGGGTGGGATGCTTGGTTCTGTGAAATAGTTCATTGTCTTTGAAACAAATATTTTCTTTGGTTGATCGCATATAGAGGAAGTTGCTTTAATCAAACTGATAGTTTGAATACATCACTACAGACAAGAAGTCCCCGCTTGCGACATTACAAATATAGTCCCACAAATCCTGACAATTTTAGACCTTTTACATTCCAAATATTGTGTAGTCTGTACTACACTTCACCTTGCATCTTGACTGGATGCATTAGAATATGGTTGGGAAATATTGTTGGTGAATAGATTTTGACAGTCCACGATACTGAGAAGAAATTAAATTTTCTTCTTCTAGTTGCCCTGAACAGTTGAAATGAAATAAAAATGTATACATCATCAGTTTGGTATCAGAGCATCCTCCACCATGTTCTTACATGGTGAGAGATCCTGTGTACTGGGGGCAGATGGTCACCTTGGCAACCAACTGAAGGTCATTCTACCCCAACATGTCAAACTCGAGGTCGAGTTTTCTGCAACGAAGGGAGAATGATGCAGGAGCAAAGTTCAAGTTTAGTAAATAGGAATCTTTCTAGTTTCCTATGTAATAAATATGCAATTTTCTAAGGTTTACTGTCTTTGAGTCTCCCTATGGGACACGATTAATGTACTAGGTGTAATAATTATGTCTTTATAATTCCCAAGTGTGTTAATGTGGATCTTTCAAGATTGGTGTACCAATTACCCTATAAAAGGGGCTACTTTGTAAGCATAACATCAGAGTTAGTGAAAGAAAGAAAAAAAGTTCATATGAATTGTTGATTGTGTGTGAGGCACAGGTTGTCGTGGAGTGATTCCAAGGCACCTTCGGTGTGATGCCGGAATTTATCTAATTTCTCAACTGGAAACCTTTGGTGTGATACCAAAGGCCACAGTGAGTCTGGATCTCTCATTTCTTCCTATCTTCCCTCATTTTCCTACATCATGTTTTTTCTGGGTGAAAGATAACTTAATCTGGTGCATGATAAAGCAAACGTCTTTTTCATTAGCCATGCATTATTTGCTTTCTCATGTCATGCATTATTTTTTTTTTTTCCCATACTCTAATTATGATCCGACATGCAGCTCCTCATAGAAGAATCATGATATTATATGTTGTTGTGCCTCTAAATTAGTAGGCCTGACGTTGTTTATTGTATCTACAGAATGGCCCTAACTCATTGGACATATCGGGAGATCCTTACAAGAGGGTATATGATGCATTCCTTCTATTTTGTTTAATCAAACAGATAAGATCAATACATCACTATAGTTTATACTATTCTACATTTCACTTTTCATCTTAAATTGGTTGGGATTCAGGGGAAGATGTTGCTTTTTCTTTTGTAATAACAGTAAAAATATTGTTGGTGAATATATTTGACAGTCCATGATACTGATCAGAAGTAATCAAAATTGTGTTTTGAGAACTAGTTCATTGTCTTTGGAAAAAAAATGTGTTCTTTGATTGATATGATGTAGAGGAAGTTGCTTTAATCAAACTGATATCATGAATGCATCACCATGGACAAGAAGTCCCCGTATACAACAATACAAATGTAGTCCCACAAATCCTGACAAATCTAAAGTGCTAACAATTTTAGACCTTTTACATTCCAAATTTTGTTTTGTCTATACTACACTTCAGCTTGCATCTTGACTGGATGCGTAGAATATGGTTGGGAAATATTGTTGGTGAATAGATTTTGACAGTCCATGATACTGAGAAGAAATTAAATTTTCTTCTTCTAGTTTCCCTGAACAGTTGAAATGAATTAAAAATGCATACATCAGTTTGGTATCAGAGCATCCTCCACCATGTTTTTCGTAGTGTTTCTCAGATTTGTGTGGTGAACTCATTTATTGTGATATTGTGGTAGTGTTTCTCCTATTTGCATCTCCTTCTTTGTTTTTCACATTTTCCCCCTCATTTTCTCCACTGTTTTTTGGGGTTTTTATTAGTTTTTTTGGTTCCTCTCCCCTTTTTCTCCCTTATTCCTCTAACTTTTCATTGCTGTGCATCTCCTTCTTTTTTTGGTTTTTATTTGTTTGGGTTTTTATATATATCTTTTATGTTTATATGCCGAATTTCTTTTGTGGGTTTCATTAGATTCATGTTTGTTTATGATTTCTGATTTAGATTCATATATAAGTATAAATGAAATATTTATTTTTTCTTTTGGGGCAGCTCCTGAATTTGAGACATGTTGTTTTTCACCAAAAATTCATCAAGGTCAAATATTTAACTCTTCGTTTTTGTTATGTAATTGAATGCTGTAATTTTAATTTTTCACCAAGAATTCTCTTTTTCTACATGCAGGGGCTAGGAGAGCTTAATAGAGAAGGTTTGAAGAAGATGCCTCTTTGTGTTGCCCTTGCCTCCGAGAAAGAACAAGGGGAAGATGAAGCTTTTTCTTTTTTTTTCTTTTTTTTTCTTTTTTTTCAGTGGAAGATGGACTAGTTTAAATGTTATTTCTATAATTTTTTTACTAATTTTGTTTGCAATTATGTGTATTTGTTTTGTTATTGGCTTGTAATTTTAAATTTATTGTTTGGGATGATTGGGTGGGAATTGGGCTAATTGTGAATTTGTAAGCCCAAATTTTTTAAAAACTTCAGTTGGGCTTAAATCTCTAAATATTTATAATTAAAAAATCAATTTGGCCCAAGGGCCAATCCAAATTGGAAAACCGGAAACCTAACCGGATATAAACCGGTTCGGGTTGGTGCGGTTCTCTTAGGTGTTTACTTGAAAAACCAGACCGAACCGGACTAGATGAACAGTGCCAGTTTCGGTTTCGGGTTTAGGAGAGAACCGGGCAGAACGAACCGTGCCCACCCCTAGTTTAAACCAGATGTGGGTTCATGCTGTAATTTTATACATGCCTCAACTTTATAGGGCATGTCAATTCATGCTGTAAAATAAATCCCAGTAGCTAGCACTAAAACAATTAAATTGGCTTTCGGTTTTTTGTACTCATATGTGCATGCATATCATCATCATTGAGAAAGTAGGCCCACCAGCGTAACAAACATAAAATATTGCACAATAATAGGTAGTATTTTTATAAAAATGCTGAACAGGTAAATTTTGTGTTTTTAGTAAGACCCAAAGGCCCCATTCCACCGACCTTCTTTTGTTCCTATACATTATTCAAGCAAAAAATATCAAAGAATACAAGAATGCAATGCACATTGAAAGATGGTGAATTTTCAAAGCATAAAGACCTTGTTTGGAAATGTTACCTAGGCTGGTGAACCACCATGCAGATGTTTACCCCTTCAAGAGCTTCCCGTCTAAGTGCTCTAAGAAGCAGCTGAGAAGAGGCACTGTCTAAACAGATGTGGGTTCATCCAGAATCAAAAGTGAAGGTTCCATAACCATTTCTAAGCCAACATTTACACGTTTCCTCTGGCCTCCAGAAATTCCTCGCTTCTCTACTGTTCCAACCAAAGAACCACGCACTTGCTGAAGCCCCAAGGACTCAATAACTCTTTCAACCACTAAAACTTTATCCGGTTCTGGTAAGTCCGCAGATAACCTTCAAAAATTCGAAGTTCACCATCAGAAAGTAGCAGCAGTCGGTACAGTAAGATTGACATACAAAAATTTTGGACATACAAATACAATATCCAAACAATGACCCTCTTTTGGTTCCACTTTCTCTATATCAGAAAGGAAAAGGTTTCAACCAGGAATAAATAAAAATGTGAAACCTTTTTTAACATTGAAAGTACTAACTATTCAAATTAGTAGTTTAAACCATGCAATTTTATGGGCTATTAGATTTGTTATTGTGAATTACAAACTGGCATTCAGAACATGATGCAGGAAACGCACATGTTTGCAGAAAATTCATACAATGCTACAAAGGTTGTGTGGGGTTCAGGAAATTTGCATCATCACTTCATTGTAAACATTTCAGTAGCATTTTGACAATAAACTATAACAATAAAATTCTAAAATTGTAGCAAAGATGACTAACATGTGAATAGAATATTTTCTGTTGGAGTGGAATATGGAAAGAGCTGTATGTGGCATAGCTGCACTTTGCACTGAACCATAAATTCTCTTCCACCCTTAAGTTTCCATGCACAATATCATCTTGTGGCACAAAACCTATGATTTTTCTTATATGAATGGATTGATATATTCTTTCCATTTATAAGAATTAAACCAGTCATATTGCATCCGATTGCTTTTCCTGCTAGGGCAGAAACAAAAGTTGTTTTTCCGGCCCCTGATGGACCCATGACAGCAATAATGCAGCCAGGCCTGACCATTTTACTTCTGGCTGCTGCTTCTCGGGATTTGGCCAGTCTCCTCTCTATAGTGGTGAGAACTTGGTCAGAACTATTGTAAATAATAAGTAGCAGAGTACTCAGAGCTGCCTGCATAAGAAACGAAGAGCATCACAAAATTAAAATACGTATAATATAGAAAGTCAGTAAGACAAAAAACTGGAGTTTTGGAATATATCAGATAGGCACTTTCATTAGGATGAGCAGAGTGTGCTTTAAATGAAAGATCAATCATGTGAGACTGTGAACCCTGTTAAGTTTTTGTTTCTATAAAGTGGCCAACTTACAATAAGCGTTATTCCATATGCATGCATATTTTGATTTGCAGTGCTTGGATTGCAGGAAGTCAATGTGAAGCAGCCTGTAACATAAAACAACGAATGGTCAACTGCTTTAAGCAGAAAGTACTGGATAAACTACAGTCCAAATTCCAAGTTAGAAGGAAAAGGGGGCGCGATCGCTTACAAAAATGCTGCAATTAGGAACATAATAAAATTTCATTTGAGAAATAGATTGAAATAAAACTTACGTTTCTCAGATGTAGAACCCATTATGCAGTAGTGTCTGCAATTGGATGAACAAATATTTAATGGGAAGAACATATAATACGAAGGAAGTAAGGACAAATTGCATGCGTCGTATATAATTCAAGAATATGATGAGCACACAATTAACTAAAATTTGAATTACAAGTACTTATACCTTTAGTCTTTTGAATGCAAGAAGATAAGAATTCCACATTGGATGAAAAATTAAAAGCCTGGTTCCAATCAGCTTCCCTGAAACACAAATTTTATATCAAACTCTAAGAATAGTCTAACTAAGCAATTGCAATAAGTAAAAGAATAAACATTATGCTTCCATTGGTTAAGTTCAGTTGACTTCTCACAACCCATTCTTATAATTCAATCACCCTCTTCTTCTTTTTTTTGCTTTTTTTACATGCATTTTCTCAGCAACAAAACAGAGAGAGTAAAGTGAAGAAAGCTTACGGGTCCTTTACGCAGAAGCTGGAACGATTGCTAATCTGTCTGTCGACTGAGAACTGCTGTTGCGGCCATAGAGAATCTGTGTGATGAAAAGAAGAACAGCAGGGTTGTCGATTTGATCATTGTCACCAACATCTTGCCACTGAACCAATTGCCCCCAATGCACCAAGCTCAAAGCTAAGATGCCAGGTGAAGCAAATGTGCAAAAGTTGGTGCCTTTGAGGCTCTTGGAGCTCATTATGAAAAAGAAATACCAAATTTCAAATGGGTTTTGGAAATTTAGTGGAAAAAAGTGAGAGAGAGAAAAAAAAAATTGAATTATGGGCTTAACCCCTTTTTCTCTGCTTAATACATTGACCCAAAATAAAAAAATGGAACTTGGTGTGAGATTTGAATGTTGGCTTGGAAACAAACTGAAGGGGGTTTCTAGTTAATGGGTGATAGAGAGAAATAGAGAAACAGAGGCCAAGAGCTTTGGGGTTGAGTTTAGAAGTCAAATGGAAGAGAGCTTGAGAGAGAAGGAAGAAGAAGATGTAGCGGGTGGGGCCTGAGAAAGAAGTAAACAAAAGCACGTCTGAACTAGTTTGGTTCGAGCCGGCTTTCAGACATGTCTTGTCTTATTGTCTCTGTCTGAAACAATTCAAAGGTTTGAGGGTTTTGTTAAATCCATGCGCCATTTGGGAGGCAAAAGCGTGTTTCACTAATAAAAATCATTATACAATAATTAATTGCATTAAGTTATTAAATATTAGTTTTATATATAACTTAAAATTTTCTTTTTCCTCTAATTTAGAACTTCTGAATTACTAATGGAGTTCCCAAAACATGGGGTTTACAGCTAATACACATGCATCTTTCATAAAAATGGAACCTACTTTTACATGTGTGTCATCATCCTTACTTGTGGTACAAATAATAGAATTATACAAGAAAAAGAGAGCCAATCACAGTAGTTTCTTTTGCCCTTTTGATATAAAATATTAGAACGGGAAATCAATAAAAATAAAATTATTACCTGTTAAGAATATATTTTCTAAGAAAAAATGTGAACTATGGGTTTTCCTTTTGGCACAGGCCTGTGTTAGTTGCGATAAAGCCTAGCTTACTTTTGTTGGCCTGTATATTAGGCCTTTGATCAAGAGAATAGGACAAAGACGTGGAGAAAATAGTATAAATTAAAATTTCTCCTGTGCTATATAGGCTATAAGAGAGAGAGAGGGATAGTAGGTAATCATGGAGGAGGATAGGCATATCTCTCTCTCTCTCTGTGGTCCCGGGGTGGGAGTCTGATTCTTTTTGGTGGGGTAAAAATCCCAAAAAGTTCATACGAGGACATTTTTGTATATCAATATTCTCATGGTACCTCACTTCTCTGGGGATTGATGGGGATCTTTGGTGGGGTCCACTTTTCCAATATAGAAAACGTTCTGGTCTCTCTCTAAGCTTGTTTCGTTTTCTTCATGTTGGGCCTTAGTCTATAGTTGGGCCATTTACATTAATTTGTTTGAGTTCGTTGTGGCCGTACGTACTGCATGGCAAGATGCAACTAGGGCTCGTCAATGGGCCGGGCCGGGCTAGCCCGGCCCAAATTTAACGGGCTTGGGCCGGGCCGGGCCGGGCTTTAAAGAGGAGAGAGAAAATATCGGGCCGGGCCGGGCCGAGTTTTTTTAGAAAATTCAAAGCCCAAACCCAACCCATAGGTCGGGCTTGAGAAAGCCCATTGGGCCGGGCTGGGCTAAGCCCAACGGGCCGGGCCGAAACGGGCCTACTTCATTCGAAAAAAATCATAAACTTAATCATAAGGGCATTTTAGTCTAAATTTGAGATTAAACTCACTTAATTCCAATATTTTCACATCAAACCAAATTCATAAAATACTCAATAAAGTCACACAACTTAATAAGATTTTCCACAAAAATAATAAAACAAAGTATTATTTTTGAGGTTATTACATAATTAGACCATAATACGTTTTAAGAAATAATTTAAAAAAATAATAAGTATCAAAAAGATATTTTTTTTAAAGGATGGTATAAATAAATATGTAAATGTTTGGTGATGTGTTCAAGAAAAACATGATTATATTTGGTGGTAGTAGTACGATTATGTTTCGTGATATGATTATGTTTAGTGATATGATATATTGTTCATCTTAT